GAGAGGAGGAATAGGACTCTGTTGGAAATGGTGAAATCGATGATGAGCTATGCTTCATTACCTACCTCGTTTTGGGGATATGCCTTGGAAATGGCGGCGTACCTTCTTAACTTTGTACCTTCTAAATCAGTTCCGAAAACTCCAATAGAATTGTGGTCCGGGCACAAGCCCAGTTTAAACCACATTCGGATTTAGGGTTGCCCAGCACATGTGTTGGATAAGGAAGCTGATAAGTTGGCACCTAGAATAGAAGTACGGTTGTTTGTAGGTTACCCAAAGGGAACGAGAGGTGGTTACTTTTATAGTCCTAAAGATCAGAGGGTAGTGGTTAGCACCAATGCACGATTTTTAGAGGATGACTATATGAGTGAGCATAAGTCCAAGAGTTAGATTATTCTCAAAGAGTTGAGGGCAGACAATGGCATACCGAGTGTGAAAGAGGATATACCACAAGAGACTGCACAACGTGTTGACTATGATGTATTTACACCTGAATTGCCTCATCGTAGTGGGAGGGTTGTTCGTCAGCCCGATCGTATCATGTTTGTGGGAGAGTCCTCATGCTTCATCCCAAGTGACGAGCATGATAGTGACCCCTGGACCTACAATGAGGCAATCCAAGACGTAGATGCAGAATCTTGGCAGAAATCTATGGATTCTGAGATTGAATCTATAGATGCTATGGATGTCTACGACCTTAGGGACCTTCCTGAAGGCAAGAAAGCCATTGGGTGCAAATGGGTCTATAGGCGTAAGAGAGGATCTGACGGGAAGGTCATTTCCTTCAAAGCACGGCTGGTTGCGAAGGGTTTCACTCAGAAAGAGGGAATCGATTATGATGAGACCTTCTCACCGGCAGCCATGCTTAAGTCGATCCGGATTCTCTTATCCATAGCAAGTCACATGGACTATGAGGTTTGGCAAATGGATGTGAAGACAGCTTTCCTTAACGGAAACTTGGATGAAGACATCTATATGCAGCAACTCGAGGGTTATGTAAAGAAAGGCCAAAAGCATCGAGTATGGAAGCTAAAGAAGTCTCTTTATGGACTAAAACAAGCTTCTAGGTCTTGGAATATTCGTTTTGACGAGGTGATCAAGTCCTATGGATTTGATCAATGTCAAGACGAAAGTTGTGTGTACAAAAAGAGCAACGGAAACGTAGTGGTATTCTTGGTACTATACGTAGATGATATTCTTCTCATCGGCAATGATGTCAAGATTTTGTCAGACGTAAAGGTATGGCTTTCAGAACAGTTTCAAATGAAGGACTTGGGTGAGGCATCATACATTCTTGGAATCAAGGTCATTCGTGACATGAAGAAAAGAATGTTGTGTCTATCTCAACCTGCTTACATTGATACTGTGATTGCTCGTTTCAGCATGCAGAACTCCAAGAAAGGGTTGCTACCTTTTCGGCATGGAGTTCCTCTATCTAAGGATATGTGTCCGAAGACACAAAAGGAGATAGAGGAAATGGCTAAGGTTCCTTATGCTTCGGCTGTAGGAAGCCTTATGTATGCCATGCTGTGCACGAGACCTGATATTTGCTATGCGGTTGGCATGGTTGCGAGATATCAGTCTAACCCTGGTCAAGGACAATGGACTGCGGTAAAGCATATTCTCAAGTATCTGAAAAGTACTCGGGATTATATGCTTGTTTACCAGTCAGACGGTCTAACTCCTTTGGGTTACACAGATTCTGATTTCCAAGCTGATCGAGATAAGAGAAAGTCGACCTCGGGTTATGTGTTTATGATGGGAGGCGGAGCGATCTCATGGAGGAGTGTGAAGCAGAAATTCATCGCAAATTCTACCATGGAAGCCGAATACGTTGCTGCTTCAGAAGCAACAAAGGAGGCTGTTTGGCTCAGGAGCTTCTTACTGGACTTAGGGGTATCTTCGAGTGTGCCTAAGTGTATCACAATTTATTGTGACAACGCTGGTGCAGTCGCAAACTCGAGAGAACCCCGAGCACATAAGGCCAGTAAACACATCGAGAGAAAGTACCACCTTATACGAGAGATCGTAAAACGAGGAGATGTGGTTGTGACGAAGATAGTATCGTTGGATAATCTAGCTGATCCTTTCACGAAGACTCTGACTGTCAATGTCTTCGAGAAACACATAGAGGGTCTTGGTTTACGATGTGTTGCAGCTAGACTTTGAGTATAAGTGGGAGAATTGTTATGGCATGTGTTTATATATACTAAAAGTTTAGCTTTCGTATAAGTGGGAGATTGTTGGGGTATACAGTAAAGCAAACTTTTATGTGAGCTTTTGGATTGTATTTATTCGATTTCCCACTTGACTGAAATAAATGTTTTCACATTGTTGTATTCTTTATGATTGCTTGTATGCTAAATGTCCAATTATCTTATATTGGAGACAATGTGGTGTGTTAGTAGTCACACAGAAGATTACATTGTTGGTCCCTTATAAGATATAAATGGTATTCACAACTGAGATAGTTATGGACATGACTATCGGTTTAGGTTGTAGTATAAACTGGATATAGCTTGTCTTGGCTATTTGTTTATACTACTGCGCTGCGTCGCATTGAATGGATCACAGTTGAGACGTGTTCTTCTGTTCTGACTATCATGAAGAACCTAGGTCTCGGTGACTCTACTAATTCTTAACCCTAATTGTGATATTTAGATATGTGGGATATTTGTTGGTTACTTTGATTTACCATGGGTGAGAGCAAAGTATTGGTTCAATATGCTCTGTATCTTGGGTAACAACATTATCTGCATGATATCTATTTATTGGCATTAGGGAACCGTGCCCTGGACATCCAGGTTGATGACGTCCCCTTAAGGAACTCATAAGGATTATCGTATAAACCCTGCAGGTGGATTTTATCCGTACGATAATAAGGTTGAGTGGTACTACTTAAGGAATAAAAGATATTAATTAATTAAAGCAGTCAGAAGCTTTAATAATTAATGGACGTGCGATATATTAAACACGGGGAATTATATTGAGTCTAATAGAAGCCCTGATTCATTTCGGGATAGGACGAGAGTGCAATATTAATTCTCTAGTGGAATGAATTAATATTTACAGGCCAAATTGTGTTCTGGGCAGAACATAAGAATTTGGGCCTGTAGGGAGCCCAAACCCTATACCTTCTAAGAGATCCCTAGTCTGGCCCAAGGACTCTATAAAAGAAGGGATAAGCACACGTTCTTGAACCCTAAGAGATCAGTTCACGTCTTCAGCCACCACACCAACGTGGGAGAAGGAAGAAGAAAACGTGAGGGGTTCAGAGAAGAACAAAGGCAATCCGCTCCTTTCAACCGTTTGGAGGATCGTCGTCCATCCGACGTCCAAACGTGGTCGGGACACAGACTAGAAGATCGCTCAGATCGAATCGAAGCCTTGAAGAAAGGTATATCTCTGTTCGTCCTTTAAGATCATGCTTAGGTTTATTAGAAATCATGTATGTACATGTTTGGTATCCGATATCGATCCGTAGGTAGGACCGCCTCGTCGGCGTGTTCCAGCAGCAAGTGCCACAAATGTCAGCAGAAAGGACATTTGAAGGCAGACTGCCCTCTCCTCAAGAAGTTCGACAAAGTTATATCTTTTTCTTTAGTCGTTGAAACATGTTTAGCGGTGTTATCTACCAGTACATGGTGTGTAGATACAGGAGCCACTGATCATGTCTACAATTCAATGCAGGGGTTCCAGGAAACCAAACGTCTTTGGGAAGGAGAAGTTACCATCTACTTGGGCGATGCTAGTAGAGCGTCAACAGTTGCAGTGGGAGACATCTATTTAGATTTTGGCTTAGATAAGTTTCTAGTTTTGAAAGATTGTCTTTATGTTCCTAGTTTTAGAAAGAATTTGATTTCAGTTTCTAAGTTGTTTATGAATGGTTTTTCTGCTACTTTTGATTATAAAGTTGTTATTTGTTTTGGCAAAAAGTTCATATGTTTTGGTTCATTAGTTGACAATCTATACATTCTAGAATCTAAGTCATCTCCACTGCAACAGAAACAATTACTTAATTCATCATCGAATCTAAATAAGAGAAAGGAACTTCCAAAATGAACGAAACATATCTTTGGCATCTAAGACTTGGTCATATTAACCTTAGGAGGATTCAAAGGTTAGTAGCAGACGAGCCCTTGGGGTCATTAGAAGTCCAGGCTTTTCCAACTTGTGAATCTTGCCTGGAAGTCAAAATGACTAAGAGGGTTTTTAGTTCGAAGGGGCATAGAGCCGAAGATGTGTTAGGGCTAGTTCATTCCGATCTATGTGGTCCTATAAGTGTTCAAGCGAGAGGTGGTTTCGAGTACTTCGTTACGTTTATCGATGATTACTCGAGATATGGGTACATTTTCTTTATGCACCGCAAGTCTGAATGCTTTGAGAAGTTCTTAGAGTATAAGGCAGTTGTGGAGAAGCGGTTAGGAAAAACTATCAAGTCATTACGATCAGATCTTGGTAGCGAATATCTCTCGAATGAATTTAGGAACTGCTTGACGGATAATGGGATTACGTCCCAGCTGACTGCGTCTGGCACGCCTCAGCAGAATGGCGTAGCAGAATGGAGGAATAGGACTCTTATGGAAATGGTTAGGGCAATGATGAGTTATAGTACTTTACCAGATTTGTTTTGGGGATACACCTTAGAAACAGCGGTATACATTCTGAATAGAGTACCTTCTAAATCAGTACCATCTACACCATTGGAGTTGTGGTCTGGGCATAAGCCCAGTATAAGGCATCTCAGGATTTGGGGTAGTCCAGACCATGTGCTGAGAACCCATACTGATAAGTTGGAACCGAGAACAGAAGTAAGGTTGTTTGTGGGATATCTTACGGAAACGAAAGGTGGTCTATTTTATAGTCCCGAGGACCAGAATGTAATCGTTAGCACGAATACTAGGTTCTTGGAAGAAGACTATGCTTTAGATTATAAGCCCAGTAGTATACATGTCCTCGAGGAATTAAAGGGAGTGAGCACTTAGTACCGAGTGCGCTAGATGTTACACCACAAAATACTGCAACACGTATCGCTGATGATGCACCTAAGCAGGTAGTACCTCGTCGTAGTGGGAGGGTTGTCCGGCAGCCCGGACGGTTCATGGGTGTGGAAAAGTCTTCTGAGGCCGTCCCGGACATTCTTGAATCCAACCCATGGACTTACAATGAGGCACTCCAAGATCGGGACGCAGATTCTTGGCAAAAGGCGATGAAATTTGAAATAGGGTCAATGGACTCTAATAAGGTCTGGGATCTTGTAGAGCCACCCAGTGGTGTTCGCGCCATTGGATGCAAGTGGGTCTATAAGAGAAAGAGAGGAGCATATGGGAAGGTTGAGACCTTCAAAGATAGGCTTGTTGCGAAAGGGTACACTCAGAAAGAAGGGATCGATTATGAGGAAACCTTTTCGCCGGTAGCCATGCTCAAATCCATCAGGATTCTCTTGGTTGTAGCCGCTCATATGGATTATGAGATTTGGCAAATGGATGTTAAGACCGCTTTCCTTAACGATAATTTGGACGAGGACATCTATATGCAGCAAACAGAAGGATTCATTGCAAAGGGCCAAGAGCATCTGGTCTGCAAGCTAAAGAGGTCAATTTATGGGCTGAAGCAGGCTTCGAGGTCTTGGAACATCCATTTTGACGAGGTTGTCCAATCGTATGGATTTACCCAATATCCAGATGAGCACTGTGTATACAAGAAAAGTGATGGAAACGCGGTGGTGTTTTTTGTGCTGTACGTGGATGACATACATCTCATTGGAAACAGTGTGAAGATGTTATCAAACGTAAAGGTATGGTTATCAAAGCAGTTTGATATGAAGGATTTGGGGAGTAGGACATGTTCTCGGAATCAAGGTCATTCGTGACCGAGAGAAGAGAAAGTTGTGCCTATCCCAATCCACATACATAGACACTGTCGTAAAGCGTTTCAACATGCAGGATTCTAAGAAAGGGGATTTACCCTTTCGGCACGGAGTACCTCTATCTAATAAGAAGTCCCCAAAGAGACCTCAAGAGGTAGAGGACATGAAGGCAGTTCCTTATGCATCAGCAGTAGGAAGCCTCATGTATGCTATGTTGTGCACGCGACCTGATATTTGTTATGCCGTGGGCATGGTAGCAAGATATCATGTAATGTCCCGATATTTTATCGGTATAAATTATGTTTTAATTCCGATATAATAATGTTAACGTTTATTATTTTCGGAATTTATTATTTTCAGTCGAGATTACCGAAATTTATTTTCGGCGTACCGATTACGTTCGGAATAATTTTGGTAATTTATGTTTAATTAAGTAATTAAACATACTTTAAGTGATTAATATTAATTAATCACGTACCTAAGGCCTAAAACCGTGCATTAAGGAATTTATTTCCAATTAAGGTCCAAAAGCCGTGAGCTTTTCTTTAGCATAAGGAAAGCCAAATTATTCCTCATTTGGAACCAAGTCTTCCTCACTTATTAGCATGAAACGTGGCAAGTGGTAAGGCATATTAGTCAATAGTAATTGTTTATATTATTTTCAGTTTGATCAGGCATCAGCACTACCGATCAGTTTCAGCAATTCAGGTGGGGACTCAGACAACGTACTACATTGATTATAATTACAGTACCATGTTTGAGGTATGTATTTCAGTTGAGGTATCCGCTCGGAATGGTCGCCGGTCCATTCTGGGTTCTAGTGGCACTAGTCTGCCCACTAGAGTGTGCACATGGTGTCCGGCTTTGCCGGCAGATGAGGTAACGGTCAGGGTCACGGTTGCGTGACATTTTTTTTTCAGGGTCACGGTTGCGTGACGATTTCAGATTCATGTTTATTACCGGCTTGAGGTTGAGGTTATGTATATACTGATATCATGATGTTGTTATTATTTTCGATGTTTTACATTAGTATGAGTTTCCACGGAGCACAGCGCCATAGTGCTCACTCCCCAGTTTTATCATGTTTTTCAGGTCAGGACGTCGGGCCGGGAGCATGAGCGTGACGTGACGGGGACTTCAGGATATTTATGTTTTGGACTGTATAAATATGATGATGACTTACGCTTCCGCTTATGATACTTTGATGACTTATGATGATGTTTTGATGACTTTTGACGTACTCATTTTGACGAACTTATCTTTTGACAAACTTTTGAGAAACTTATGCTTTCAGTAACCGGACGATTTTATTAAAAATTAAAATAACGGTTTTCTAAATTAAGTCACGTTTTTAAGGTAGCACCCCTAATCAATTTTCGCAAAGCAAAAAGGGTTTTATTTTAAAATAACTTTGCGAATTTTAGCGCACTCTGATTTACGATAAGGAGGGGTGTTACAATTGGTATCAGAGCACGTTTCTGCGGCTCTGAAAAAGTTTTTCAGTCAGTAATTTTTCAGAAAAACCTGAACCGTCATGCTCACGCCCCGTCGACGACAGGTAAGTGCTGATTCAGTTTTTCAGTTATAAACATATTACTATGTCTATGCTCAGAATTAAGGATCAGGACTTTAGTTAAGATGCTCAAATAAGGTTCAGACTTTAGAGTTCGGACATGACTCCAGAATTCAGGTATTCAGATATGACTCTAGACATTAGGATCTTCCTATATGACTCTAGAGTTCTTCAGGTTTCACGTCAGTAATTATCGGCCACTTTTGGCAACTAGTCAAGAGATCTGTGTGCCTTAGTAATCAGTCAGTAATGTTATCATGTATTCAGTAATGTTAACTTTTCTCAATGTTCAGATGCCGCCATGTAGAGAACCCGATCATCAGGCTCCTACTCAGGCTATGGTAGTCGCTCAGTTTCGCGACTATCACGCCGAAAAGTTCTCAGGGCAGGGAGACCCCCGCATAGTTGATGAATGGATTCAGGGGTTGGAATTTATCTTTGAGGTCATGGAATGCCCCGATACGTATCGCGTAGTTTGCGCTCAGCTTCAGCTCAATGCCTACTGGAGCATGCGTCCTGGTGAAAAAGCGGGTTGTACATGGGACATGTTCAAGGAGCTAGTTCGCGATAAGTACTACCCTTCCTACTATCGGGCAGAGATGGAGCGTCAGTTCTTGGCGCTTCAGCAGGGCACTCGTACTGTTGATGAGTACGAGCGAGAGTTCACTAGACTTGCATCTTTCGCACCGGATCTTGTTTGCACGGAGGCTCAGAGAGCGCAGCGGTACATTGACGTGCTTTTCCCAGCAGTCCGTCACAATATCGTGGGACACGGGACTCGGACCTATGCTCGTGCAGTTTCTATCGCCCAAGAGGTGGACGCGAGCATCAGGAGGGAGGTAGTTCGTGATCGTGCCTAGCCATCCGCCCCAGTTCAGCCATTCGCAGCTCCACCAGCTCTACCAGCCCCTCAGCCGGCAAAGGAGAAGAAGAGGAAGGGGAAGGGTGCACAGACTGACCGGAGGACCCGACAGAGACAACAGCCGATTCCACCGTGCCCGACTTGTGGTCGACTGCATAGAGGAGAGTGTCATGTGGGACAGGACATCTGCTATTACTGCCATGAGCCGGGACATTTTGCGAGCCGCTGTCCGAAGAGACTCCAACAGCAGCCTCAGCAGCCACCACAGCAGCAGCAACCACGTCAGCAGGCACAAAGGCCGCCTCAGCAGCAGCAGAGGGGCAGACAGCAGGCCAGGATTTACGCAGTTGATCAGGCCGAGGCAGCACAGCAGCCAGGTACTATGTCAGGGATGGTTGTTCTCAATAATATTCCTGCATTTGCTTTATTCGATACTGGAGCGACACATACCTTCATTTCACGACGATGTCTCGATGCCATCGTAGTTCACGCCATTACCGCTGTCGATCCTCTCGCTGTGAGTTTAGCCTCGGGACGAAAGATAGTGACCTCAGCTAAAGCCTCAGATCTTAGCCTTTCTATCGGTGGCCGAGTATTGACTGCCGACGCGTTTGTTCTCGAGATGAGAGACTTCGATCTTATTCTCGGGATGGATTGGCTATCTTTTTATCATGCTGACATCAGGTGTCATGACTGGGAGATCACTCTCTATCTTCCGGGAGATGAGTCGATTACTTTCTTCGGCTCCAGGAATCGTTCACTGCCTCACGTTGTTTCGATGGCGAAAGCCACTAAGCTATTGCGACGAGGCAACTACCAGGGTTATCTGGTAAGCCTTGTTGATGATTCTCAGAAAGCGCGGACACCTCATGATGTTCCAATCGTTCGCGAGTTTGTGGACGTGTTCCCAGACGAGCTTCTAGGAGGACCGCCCAACCGTCAGGTGGAGTTTTCTATCGATCTTATTCCAGGGGCCGGTCCAGTATCCAAAGCCCCGTATCGTATGGCGCCTAAGGAGTTGCAGGAGCTTAAGACCCAGATTCAGGAGCTGTTACAACTCGGTTTTATCCGACCGAGCGTGTCACCTTGGGGAGCACCCGTTCTCTTTGTCAAGAAGAAGGACGGATCTATGCGCATGTGTATCGACTACCGGGAGCTTAACCGGTTGACGATCAAGAATAAGTATCCGCTTCCCAGGATCGACGACTTATTTGATCAGCTGAGGGGAGCCTGTGTGTTCTCGAAGATTGATTTACGATCAGGCTACCACCAGCTGAAGATTAAGGAGTCAGACATCGCTAAGACCGCTTTCAGGACTCGTTACGGCCATTACGAGTTCGTCGTCATGCCTTTCGGTCTCAGCAATGCGCCAGCTGTTTTCATGGACCTCATGAATCGTATCTTTCATCCCTACCTCGATCAGTTTGTTATTGTCTTTATTGACGATATCCTTTTTTACTCGAAGAGCCAGAAGGAGCACGAGGAGCATCTGAGGGTGGTTCTTGAAACCCTCAGACGAGAAAAGTTGTACGCCAAATTCTCCAAATGCGAGTTCTGGCTTCAGCGAGTATCCTTTCTGGGTCATGTGATTACTCAGGCAGGCATCGAGGTGGATCCTTCCAAGGTCTCAGCCGTTCAGAATTGGTCGACACCGAGGAGTCCGTCCGAGGTTCGCAGTTTTCTCGGTTTAGCTGGTTATTATCGCAGGTTCATCGAGGGCTTCTCCAAGATCGCTCTCCCTTTATCCCAACTGACGAGGAAGTCTGTGAAGTTCGAGTGGACTGATCGTTGTGAAGCGAGCTTTCAAGAGCTCAAGAGGAGATTAACTTCAGCACCGGTGTTGACTATTCCCGATCCTTCTCGGAGTTTCACTATCTTCAGCGATGCTTCGAGACAGGGCTTGGGATGTGTCCTTATGCAGGACGGACAGGTCGTTGCGTA